GTATCCAAAGTCCATCGATTTCAAACCAAATAGGAAGTCAACAATTCCCAAAGACTTCCTTGTAAAATCTCACAAACACCTTGTCAAGTCTGAACACCATGAACTTTCTCCTTCTTTGATCAAACAAGTGACACATTAGATTTTCATTCATCATAACTACATCATGTGCTTCTAATTCCAAACTCTTCAACTTGTGTCTGAAGCTCAGGTCACTATACATATAAAAATGTATAATATAAAATATGTGTATATGTATTATATACGCACATGTCTGGAACTTTGTAGAGAAGAAAAGACATTTTCTAAATCTTTCTTAAAGGATCATAAAAACACCAACAAATCATGTTCTTTTTAGAAAAGGGAATACAGTACTTGGAAAGGGTAACAAAAGAAAAGGAAGGATGGGACAAAGATGGTAGAACTAGTAGTATGGATCAAGATTTGTCTTCCTAATTCTGAAATCAGTCCAGGGCAAAAAAAGGACAGTAGAACAGTCCAGCACAAATAGCATGATCACTTGAAACTCAAAATCACAGATAGCTTGCAGATCTACAGTCAGCCACCCCCCCCCCCCCCCCCCCATATTGATATCTCTGTAATTTTAGTTATCGGTTAACCCAAATAATGATCGATAAGTTGAAAACAGTTGTCAATCCCCTATGAGTTTGAATTATCTGTGCCTGCCTGTATAAAGATGAAATAATTTTAAAGCTTAATTTCTGGAAAGCCCATCTCTTTATCAATTGTTGATCAACAAGTCTCATTTTTCACTTTTATATTCACAGAACTTGGTGTGGTAAAAAAGATATATACCTACCCCTACAAACAATATTGTGAGTTTAGGAGTACTAATCTGGTTAATGCACAGTCAAAATCCTTCAATTCCCAAAAGAGTGATATCTTACAAGGAGATTCATGGACTGTTCAACAAATTCCCTTTTTAATGGCTATTGGCTATGTTTAAGTTTACTATATTCATGAAACCTGAATTGGAGTCTCCAGTGTTACACTGACAAAAACAAGCACATGAAGCTGATCAGGTTTGTAAAGGTCTGCTACAGACACATTACTTGGGCGCCATAAATTTTTATTATCTGCATCACTGGAAAAAATGCTTGATGATGTTTACACAATCAACTGCTATTTTTACAACAAGACTTTAGTCTCTTTTATTTTGCATTTTAAAAAAACGCTTCCGTATAATCCCACTTAAGATTCATTGAAGTAAAATATGGTACAGCGTACCAACTGGTAGTTTGATTCAGGGGCTAAAGGGAATTTTTGTATTATATAAGTCTTGCTTCTAAACAAAGTTCCATACTCAGCAGAGTCTTTCTATTTTCATAATTATTCTGTTTCAGAAGTGAGAAATCTGCATGTAAAACACCATTTCAATTGTGGAACTTCGACCCAGATTAACACTTTAGTTATTAAGTTCATTTTAAAAGACAAAATCCTTCTTTTCTGTTGCTCTCAGACAATTAATACACTGCTAGAACCCAAAAGCCATCATCTCGTATACAGTAAAATTAATAGGAAAATATCTTGACATTACGAATAGCACAATCTTTACACAAAAAATATGCTGTGACCCATTTTCAGGAAAGTCACTCTTCTTTGGTACTTGCAAGTGCATGTTGACTGCTTAGTGGAGGAGGAGGACTCCACCATACACATTTTGAAAAGTGACATACGACAGAATCTTACACTGAGCAGTCAATATATATATATATATGTGCGCCTATGAGTAAGTGAGTGTGTGTGTGTGTGTGTGTGTGTGTGTGCGCGTGCGTGCGCGCACGCGCGTGCACCTCTATGCAAAATATTATCATCCTCAACAAACGTCTAGTCTGAAGCAGACATTTGTGACAATGGTTCTCCATCTATCTACATTGAGGCCCTCATGAATGAGTTGTTCATTGTGTCGTTCATCACCCAGGTGCTCAGACCAATTATGATTCTTGTGTGTCAGCGTGCTCAGCTTTTCTTCCTTTCAATTTTTCCTGTCGTACTTTGTTGTTCCAACTCTCTTTTTCTGTACGCATGCCCCATGAATTTCATGTTTTCTCCTTATAATTATTGATTATTGTTTCAGTGACTGATCTTTTCATGTTTGTCATTGCAAGCACTTTTTGGTTTGTTTTCTATTCTGTTCATGGTATTTTCAGCAATTTCTTGTAAATTACATTTCCGTTGCTTTAAATTTTCTTTTACTATTGCTGTCAATTGTCCAGAATTCACATCCAACTGACCAAAAGCATGCCTTAAATATTCTGAGTTAAGTAGCCATTATAATGATTCTGTTTAACATGATTCGGACTAGCTTTTAATATACATGTATCTCTGACTGTCAGATATATACAGAAGATAAATAATCAAAAGAAACACCATTTCCATTCTAGTGAATGAAAATAATTTTGAAATTTAAAAAGCCACAAATGTTTTAACATCAAACCTGAGTCTGTTTCAAATAGCTCATAACAAGACCAACAAAATGTGCTGTTGGTAAGCATTCAGAAGAGAAAAAAACCGCAAAACCATGCTCAGAGCTTTGTTGAAAGTAAAATTTCAAGCATCAACAAATGAAGTTGAGCTGTTGGTTGATACAAATAACATAAAAGTTTTGAAGGCCAAACTTATGTCTTATTGTCATAACCATTTGCAAATAAAACAACAAAACCTGTTGCAGGTAAGCCCTCATAACAGGTATCTATGCTCATGAAGTCAAAGAAATCATTTGTAACAGGTCTTGCATAACACAATGAAATGTTCTTTACAGAAAAATGCTGTGCATATCTGGGACTTGAAAGACACTTTTTTATTGTCTCTCCAGTGGCATAAGTGACATCGGCCCCTCTTTCTTGAGCCCACTTGTAGCTGCTGAACAGGAGTAGCAGGTCCAGTTGTCTCAACTTCTTTGACACCAAGACAAGTAAGAGACACATTTTTCAATGGGCACGATGCCGTGAGAAGAGTCTAGTAGAAGCGCACAATCTGATCTCTCATTGAAGATTCAAACCCCTTGCAATGTCCCACAGGAAATCACCACACCTATAACTTCAGATATGTCATGCTGTACAGGAAATTTCATTTGAGGAGAGAGAGAAGAGACTGATAGATGGAGAAAGGGAGACAGAGACAGAGGGAGAGAGTGTGTGAGTACATAATCATGCATGTATTGCGCTCGTGCTCTTGTGTGCATGTGTGTGTGTGTGTGAGTATGTAAGCATGATAGAGACGAGGTGTATGAATGCAAACGTTGGTGTAAGAAAGTGTACGCAGGTGTACGTTGGCATGTATACACATGTGGACATGATTCAATAAAAAACAGACGACAACAAAGAGTGTTATGTACCTGTCATGTTAGGAAGACATATTAGTTCCTATCACATTTTTTGTGTGTGTATTGTTCTTGTTATTGTGTCCTGAAAACGGGTCACAACTTTTTCCCCTCTGTATTTCATGTCCTGAAAACATTCAGGAGTTGAAGGGGGAAGCAAGTTTAAGTTACACTATCTGACAATGACCTGGAGACCAGAAACACCAAATATCCAATACAGAAATAAGTGTTAGTCTAATATATGAAAATAACCACTGGATTCAACATCTGAACAAGCCCAGCTGCCAAGCAACAGAACGTTTACAACCCTGTGTTCCCTTTTCGGACCACAATATGCTGAAAAGGTTAAGTACCCTTATCATTATCAGTATATGCGTACATGTATTGATCTGGAGGAACAAGGAAATAGAAAAAACACAAAAATTATTTTAGTAAACACGGCACGATATACATTTATTGTGAACACAACTATTAATCTGATTTTTTCTTTTCACAAGAGACCTAGCCCTTCTTAATAGCACATCAGACCTCAAATAGAACATCAGATGGCTGAACTCTGAGAGTGCGAACAATTATGAGGCTGAAAGACAATATCACCTTTGTCATTCACCATGTAGATTTCTTCCTCCAAAGTATGTCAAGGGCACATTCACCTTTTGCTTAGAATTCAGAGATGCTAGCTTAGCCATGAGTGGAACAGAACGGAGGGTGTCTTTTCTCATGTTTCCTTATATCCTTCTCACATCAAGGGAGACAACAGTCCTGACACACAAGTTATTTCCCACTCTATTTTAAACGTGACATGTAGAACAGGTATAAAGGGAGTCTGAGAGGAAAGGGGCGGTAAAATTAATTGTGTCCTTGATGAAAATTACGAACTAGAATAGTATAACAGAAAAAGAACCAAGCAGAACCCAACCAGCTTCTCCTCTGTACTAAAAACTGCCTTCTTTTTACGGGCCAAAAAAATCTGTCATACCTGTACCCCACCTCTGGGGAGTTGCATTCTTTCTAAATGAGCATAGCTTTTTTCTCAAAGTATTGTATATACTTAACGCCCACCCCTTTCCGTATTGCAAGGCTTTAAAAATTAAAATATGAGACATCAAAATTAGATCTAAGTTCATGAATGCACAAAAAATCTGAGGTACAGTTCAGCATGACATAATCCGAAGTAATTCGTCCACTACTTTCTGTTTATTTTGACCCTTTCAAAATAAAGTGCTGCACAAACAAATCATATATAACTCTAATGACACAAGTATAGAGTTCAAGCAGTAGCATTTCTGAGTGGCACAATGAACTCAGCATCTGGCGTCAGGTCTTCACTTTTACAAGCAGTAGACCCAAGTTTCTTCCTCAAGTTGGGAAGTTATTTTACTAAGTATCTTTGTCCGTCTTCTGAAATGTTGTTCCAACTCAGCCCACATTGGCCCTGGCATGCAAGGTCGAAACAGCCTGCCTCCCACATCAACTTAATTGTATAGATATGAGATACTGTCATCAAATTTTTACATCCAATTAAAATCTTGGTAAAATTGAACATGAGATGATTCATTAAAAGAACATGTGTTAAAGAGTGTTAGTGTTAGTTGTCCTGTCTACAGGAACTGAAACTGGTACTGTCATAATATTGAAAAAAAACAAAAAACATACATACCTTATCATCAAGAAACTCATCACCATCTGAAAGAAAATTTAGAAGAGCTGTAAAGGTACACAGTTATATTCTGAACATGGAAATTACATTATTAAAAAAGGAGCTTAAACAGTAATCTTATCCCTTTGTTATTTGAGGTTATGATACTAAATGTAGTTTTACTTCTCAACAAATCTTACACTGAAGCCATTAAAATGCAGATGGGATGACTTGTACTTTCTAGAGACAGAAGACAGATAATTTTACATGAATTGCAAGAGGCAGCCCACCAGACTCACGGGCAGTCTCTTAACTTGAGCAATTGCCAAATTTTCGCAGGAAACTATTTGGGATACAGCTTGTACCAGGGACACTTACACATTTTTACCAAATAAACTGCAGAAATCATATAGAAATACAAATGTCTAAGTCAAAAGGCTGTGGCAACCTCTTTCCGTTTACTATGACAGCAACAGGTAAGCAACACAGACCTATTACTGCAGAAAGAACATAGATTAAACTGAAGGCTTTCTTCAGCCTTAAACAACCCATACCATGTTAAGTTTCATAAAATTCTCACATGATTGCATCAAGTACACTAGTTACTGCATTCCACAGCAAGGTAACATTATTCCGTCACACTCTTAAGTGAAAAGGATTATACAAGTACCAAAAATCAGCAAGCTATCAAATCCTGCAGACTTACAATCCAAATTGTATATTAGAAGTTTCACCCCAAATGAACCTTGCGTATACAAATAAAGATAAAATGACTGCCCCCCCCCCCCCCCCCCCCCCCCCACAAATAATGTCTTTTCATCTGAGCTATCCAGGAATATAAAAACAAAAAACATTGACAACAGTACTTTGATCGACACATCCTTTTCAAGGGCAAATTACTTGTGTTTCTGTTGTCAGCTCCTGTCTTTCAGAGCAATCTTAATACCTGTGGTAACATTTTTTTCTTTTAAAATCACAATCATTTAGAACAATCCTACAGTTTCATGTGTAAAAATTTACACAGACTGGCAGGCCTGCAATATTCAGTTCAGTCAGCTGTATGTTGTAAAACAAGAATAAAAAGGGGAGCCCCCTATTCTGACTTACTCTCATTCATAGTTCGTTAGTATTTCATTTGATTGACAGCGATCAGTTCATCACCTGATCTAAAAACCAAACCACAACAAAAGTGCTGCAGTGAGCTTGATATACACTATTAGGACTCAGGAGTTGCCTGAAGAAAATTATCTTAAAATAGTCAGTCTTTCTAAGTTTGCAACAGCACGATCTTTATTCTATTTTTGTGTGTTCCAATGGAATATTCCACACATTTAAAACAAACACGTTAGTCCAACCCTGCAAGTTTATCTTCAAAGGCATTTACAGTACATAATGTGCATTAAGCCTGGACCCATTCAGGACTCACAATAGAAACAAGGTTTAATCACCAAACCTTATTTTAAAACAAATACATGATGTGAACCCTGCTCTAACTCTAACATTCTTCCAGTACAACCTAAAGAGTCTTGACTTTTTCTCGGCTCTGTGGTGAGATGTCTCGTAAGCACTTTATCAGCTGTGATTCTTTGAAGTTACACCTATTTCTAAGACTAACCTGTGCACAGATTTAATACTGCTGGTATTGACCCTGTTTTCTTTCTTAAATATTTGTAAGAAACAGGTTGCTTAAAAATACTTTAAAAAAAACTTTTTCAGCATAAACAAGCTGTTGTAAAGGCAATATTCTGACCCTCTAGAGCCAGCTGATCAGGTGTTACAAACCACAAAAAAATCCAGAGCTGGGAACCAAACTATTATTATCACATGTCTATATAAAATATTTTAAAATATGAGGTATGCGTCTGAGAAGATTAAAAAAGTAAATGAAATAAGAACAGTGTAAGGAACAAATCAGTTTGACCTTGTCCTAAAAATAGGCATTTTTGAGATACTATTTTGGTCACCTACCCTCAAAATAATTGACGCAAGCACAAAAAATCTTTAATTAGCCAGTGGAAGATCAGTATTTAACCCTCCGACACATTATTGACTGCCACGTAAAATGCAATAATTAGATATTGAGTTCAGTAGCCTAAAGATATCATAATAAGATCCTTTTTGGCAGTCTCTAAAACTTGGGACAGTATGAAACTGGTCTTATAATAATCGCTTCATAAGGTGATTTGTGGCATCTTGATCAAATGAATTCAGTGTTAGTTTCAAAGTTCAATGAAATGCGTTGGTCAATAACTAAATCCAGACACAAGGAGCAGACATAACTCAGGAACCAACAACTACAGCGGAAACAACCACATAAAGACAACATCCAAAGTACCCTGGTACTTTTTCATAAGAAAGGAGACATAGTGCAGTCTGCAATATCTCGTGTAATTGAGTCTAACTTTAACTCCTAAATACAGTGTGAAGTAATGAAAAGAATATCCCATGGAGAAATCTAAACATGACTTGTTGGGGTGATGGCTGTCATGTTTCAAACTAATTTGTGGCTTTTTTTTATCGCAATGGTTATGTCTCTAGTAGTATAAGTAAGTTGTAAGTGAAAAAAAAACAACTAAAAAGCAAACCAATTAACAATACCAAACCTTCAAATATGGCTACTCTAACTCAGTTTGTAAGTAAATAAATAAAACTTTTATTGCAACAAACCTTGAACCGAAGTAAACAAAGAAATCACATGGGGATGGAACAAAATCCATAAAAATCTCATGAACATGTTTGCAGCGTTTTGGCAGTTTCAACAGCTTATTTACAGTGATTAATCAATGGCATCAATCACATCAACCAAAATTTTTCATACTACCAATTCACATCAACAAATAAATTCATACTGACATAACTGGAGTCCAGATTACACATGATAAAAGAAACCCTGAGATACTTTAGAAAAGAGAACAGTAATGCAAAAAACTTTTTAAAACACATTCTACACAAAATGTATAACATTGCATGGCAAAAAGAGAAGAAACGGTTTTAAACAGTAAAAGTGGATAGGAAAGAAAGAGGCAAAGCAGTGAACCTGCAATGAATAACCTAAAATAAAACAACAGTCATAGCCATCTCATAATATATGGCCCTACGGCTCTTGAATATTTGTAACCCCCCCCCCCAAAAAAAAACAACAAACAAAAAGTCAAGGTGCTTTCACAAGCTCTATTAATGTCTTGGGTACTCTTGGACAACTATAAAGAATTTAGTTTTTAAAGGAAAGTAAAATTCAATGTCTTCAAGACCTGCTAAAAATGGAATCTGTATCAAATAAAAGCATTAAAGCAATTTCATTTGCAGTTTTTTTTTAAAAACAGTTATCATCAAACTCCAAAAAGCCTAACAAAACAACGAAAATAACTTAATCAGATGTGTGCTATACATCTCCTGACTAATCTGAGGAAAAGTAAGACAGTAATGCAACTTTATCATTACACAATATTTTCAGGTTCACATATATGTCCAGGTCTACATAAATCATGAACTTCTAATCTGAAATAGAAAGAGGCTTTGCACTCAAAAACCTCTTCAAACAAAACGTCATCCTTAGTTTTAGTAAGAGTCTAACGACACTTGCAACACAATTAAGTAATTATGTGCCAAAATGTCATCCTTAACTTAACTGTCTTGACCTTAATAAGAACATTATTATATACACACACACACAGAGAAAAAAAAAGGGGGGGGGGGAGGCACATGAGCAGGCGGATAAACCTCAGAACAACCTAATGTAAATGTAAAAATTCTACGCCCCCATCCACACCTTTTACATCATTTAGGGGGCTGGCTGCTTCAACCTGCCTGTCAGGGCCATCCCAGGCCAGGCTGAGGGGGATACATCCCAGAAGAGGTAAGAAAGGAAAAATAGATATTTGATAAAAATTCTCCCCAGACAGGACTCAAACTCACATCTCTTGCATGAACAGGCAAAGAACTTAACCACTACACAACAGACGCCAGTCAGCACATCCTGCCTCACATTGGGACTTAAACAGAAACAATTCCTGTCCAGAACATGATTTGAATTCTCAAATGACCATCAATCTAATTTCAGAGAGAAGGAACACTAAAGACGGAAGACATTATCGTTTGGACGGAGGTTGGTCAGAGACATAGATACCCAGCAGAACCTAAAAGCAATTACAAAATAGGTCTTTTGAGTGCACAGGCAAAAAATCCAACCATTACACTACAGACACCAGTGTGACCAAGACAGAACAAAGAAAAAAAAAAAAAAACAGAAATATTTTCAACGGACTTGCATGAAAAATACCACAAGAGGCGATCAAGGCACAGGTAAAAATTGTCAGCTGTCAAATCTGAACACTGACAAGCAGAGCACTGAGAAATAAAAATTTGAAACAAGTCTTTTTCATTATGTCATTTCAGATTATTTTTCTCCACAAGTTTTCCTTCCAGTGCAAAACTGATATGGTAATACTAGATAAAAGCTGCATCATTATAAATCATACATTTAAAACCACATCCAACAGGTTCATCTGGTGTAACTTTTAATTTCCATCTACCTAATTTTTTTTAGTTTTTAGTTTCAGTAGAGGTTTTACGGCGCTCGCAACTGCATAAGGTCATATGAGCGCCAAGGGTTGAATGTCAACAGAGAAGTCCTTACAGGGAATCAGACTTGCTCTGCTCACCTCTCTAGCTTCAGCAGCACAAAGTCTGCTTCGACTATCAAGGCACCCCGGAAATAGCAGGTAACAAGAGTGTGACAAACATACAAAAGAAGTAGAGGAAAAAGACGATAGTAAGGATTAGGACAGAAAAAGCAGCAGTTCCCTGTTGTAGTTCAGGCAGTTATGGGAATGACATTGTTAGATCAGCCCGTTTACAATTCTACTGTGCACAAGAACGAGAAATGCCCCCCCCCCCCCCCCCTGGGAATGGCCTAAAGACACTTCAGTCAGTGGCACCTAAATTTTTTATGAAAGCAAATTCTGACAAACATGAACAGTTCACATTGATAAAGCTAAGTTGAAGGTGCTCCTTTTAATTTCCTTGACACAATCAATATTTGGTTTCA